TGTGTGTGTGTGTGTGTGTGTGTGTGTGTGTGTGTATTGTAGATGGACACAATACCTTTATTTTGTTTATTTATTTTTATGTGGTGCTGAGGATCAAACCCAGTGCCTCACATGTGTGAGGCAAGCGCTCTCCGGCTGAGCCACAACTCCCGCCCCTTAAGAATATTTTTTGTCTTACACATTATTTATGTTAGTTTTGGGGGAATAAGGATTGAACCCAGGGGAGCTTTACTACTGAGCTATATCCCCAGACTTCTTTATTTTAAGACAGGGTCTTGCTAAGTTGCTTAAGGCCTCGCTAAATTGCTGAGGCTGGCCTTAAAACTTGCAATCCTGCATCAGACTCAAAAGTTGTGGGGATTATAGGCATGCACCCCCATGTCTAGTTTGTCTTACTTTTCAAAAAAAATCCTAATCTATAGACTAGAAATGATGATGCAGCCTTTAAAGACTATTTTCAAGATGAAGTAGAATAATGCAATCTGCCTTATAGTTCTAACATGTAAATCTGCCTTTGAGATCTTCTCTATTCTTGCCTTACTTTCTCCCACCCCAAGTATTATAAATGAATCACATTAGAACACTAGATACATTTTTCTACATATCAAAGAATTCATTTTCTATTGATGCTTCTGTTAATTGCCATAAACTTAGTAACCTCCGTAATAAAAGTTTATTATCTGTTGTTCTGAAGGTCAGAAGTTCAACATGATTCTTCTGGGCTCCAGGTATCAGGAGGGCTGTACTCCTTTCTAGAAGTCCAAGAGGAGAATCAATTTCCTTGACTTTTCCAACTTCTAGAGACGGCCCATTTCCCTGGCTTGCAGCCCTTTTCCTATGGATTCAAAACCATCAGTGATTAACTGAGTCCTTTTCATATTACTCTGACTTCTATGTCTGTCTTCCTTTTTCATATTTAAGAACCTCTGTTATTTTAGTAGGCCTAATGGCAAAATCCAGGATAATCTTCTCTAGTAAAGTCAGCATATTAGCAACCTTATTTCCCCTTTGCATATTATAGGCTACAAAGAGCCTGAAAATCGTTGGGGGTTCACTACTCTGCCTACCACACTCAGTTCAGTGGAAAGTTATGGTTCCTTTGCTTGCATGTTAGTGCTGCCAGTTGTTCTTATTCTGTTAGTTATTTTAACCTCAGCATTAAAGTAGCAGCACTCACAGAATACCCTTCTGGAATTACTGTGTCCCTCTACTTGTCCCTTGCTAGATTCATGGGTTCTGAGCTTCTTTCTGCCCTGCTCCATTCTGTCTGACTACCACCATGTAGTGCTTTTCGAATCTTTCTTTAACTTAATTTGGTCTTTAAGTGTTCAGAGTTAGAAAAACAAAAACTTTTCTTGTTTTCTGGGAGATGTTCCTTTAGGGGAAAGAAAACAACCCAAACCCCTAGCGTTTATCCAAGCACAACAAAGCTTAATTCACAGAATCCACTTCCCTGCCTGTCTCAGCCCTGTTGTGGAACCGACTCCAGCTGACAGATGAGAAGGCCTCATGGTTTCCCCAGTGAAGCAGAAAGCTGCATCCTGAATCCTGAACGTCTGTGTGAGTCAGTGATCACACCCTTGATGTTACCTTTCATTTCAACAGCTCTCTTGGCTCCACTTGCTCTGAGCAGTTTTAATTTCCTGCCAGCACAGTGGCACAATTTGCTGGCATTTTCTTTGGGATGCTTTTCATCAAGAGCCTAATGAGTGCCTGGGTTCTGGCTGATGATAATCATGTGGCTGCCAGGGAAATGCCAAGAGGCCCCCTCAGCTCTGGAAGGCATCTCTGTCTGATTTCCCACCTCCTGCTAACTGAGGGCTAAGGCACCCTTATGTGGAAATGCTTTGCTGCTAGAACTGCTCTGACAAGCCACTAACTAACATGCATGCAAAGAAACTTGAAAACCATTAAGACCAAGCCCCACAACACTCGGCCACAAGGAGTTAAGCAGAAAAACACCTCGGTGGAGCTCAATAAATGGACTCGTTAAACCAAACTCCTGATAATGGATACACTCAAATAACCAAGGTACACTAATGGAACACATCCAGAGATAATCAAACTTCCACTAATTAAATAAAATGTTTCCCTATATCTAAGAATTTACTATCTACATCCAAGTATTTTACCCAAATAGGAGGTTGCTATGTTATTAGCCTAATGCAGTTATTATAATGATTTGTGCTTTCAGAGTATTATTCACTGGAGCACCTGGGGGTTTTGGCAAATGTGATTTCCCTGCCAGCATGAAGTCCCTTTCATTTCTTACTCCCCTCTGTGTAATCCCCAAATTCCATGCTTTCTCTTTAATTTGTCTTCTTGTGTTCCTTTACTGCTTACATTAGGTGTGATTTCTCCTCCCAAACCTCTTAACTTGCAACTTGATGAATAGTTCCTTCCAAATCTAGGTTTTTAAGGTTATAACTTTGTCCAAAAAGATGCTACAAAGACAGTTTAGTATCTACATCATGGTTAGGTATACAATAGAGGCTTCATAATGATTTAAGAAGAAGAAGTATGATCTTTATTATTCCTCATGGTTTTCTTCCATCCTCATAATTTTACCCTAGAAATGATGAACACTGATTATCATCCTTTGCTATGAGAATTATTTTTATATCTAGATCTGGAGATGAATGGCAAATGATACGAATACTAAAATATTCTCTTTGATTATGTAACTTGGAGGCCCTTTGGGTCCAAGCATAAGTAGAGAAAATGAGATTTGGTCTTGATTATAAAAGCCAGGGAATTATTATTGACCTCATATATTCCACATTCTAGATAACTGAAGGAGCAATCCCGCCTTACTTTAATTCCAAGTTAAAAAACGTTCACTGAAATGACATATGAGATTTTGTCCATTATTTTAATATCTTACTTCCTATA